TGTGTGTGTGTGTGTGTGTGTGTGTGTGTGTGTGTGTGTGTGTGTGTGTGTGTGCATGTGTATATATGCATATATATAATCATAAAAATACTCATTTCTAAAAGAGCCATTGTGGCTTCTGCTGGCTCCCGCAGATTAGCAAAGGTTCCATTAGAAGGTTCGAAAAGCTCTTTGGAAAAAAAAAAATGAATGATGCAGCGTTTTAATTATTTTGCTCCCAAGGAGAGGTGTTGCTTCCATGTTGGAATGTGTGACTGAGCTGTGGAGGGATTCCTGAGTTCGAGTATCGGGGGATGAGGTGGAGAGGCAGGGAGGTGCGGGGGGGGGGCGCGTATGGGGGGGGGGAAGGGCTCCCTGGGGAGAAAGGGCTTCTTGTCCTAGCTCTGGGCAGACAAATGGTGCTCTGGAAGCTCCAGGCAATATCCAGGAGGAACCAGGGGCCCCCAGTTTTCTCCATGCCCCAACTTTTGGAGGCTTTCCTAACCTTCACACATGCTGTCTCTGAGATAAAGCCAGGGAGATGGGTGGGAAGAGCTTCTGGACGTGGCCCTGGTCCACAGCATGGAGAGGAGGGGGTGTCGGGAGGAAGAGCCTGGCCTGATCGCTAGGACACCATCTCCCCTCGCTGGGAAGCTAAGGGCCACGTCCGGATGAGCCATTTCTCCCAGCCAAGGCTGCTGCTCTCCCAGCGCCTTCGTGAAATCACTCCTGGCATGGGGGTGGGGGCGGGGGTTGCAGCTGGGGCGGCCCTGAGACCAGAGCCTCTGACTGGAGGCAGGTTGGATCCTTGCTGGAGACCTAGGGGAGCGCAGGGTGCGTCCGTCCTGAACATGAAGGGTGGAGAAAAGGTTGGCTTGTCCAGCCACTTCCCAACCTTCACCATGGTGGGGTAGGGGGCTCAGAGGGGCCCCAAAAGATCCAGTGCATGCTCTGTGACTTTAGAGAGAGCTTTGTTGAGTTAAATGATGTTTGTTTTTTGAATGTTACAGTGGTAAAAAGAGATTTCTACTCGAGCTACTTTTTTCTTTAGCATCTAGTGCTTTAGGAGAAAACCATGTCTCCTGACTAACTTGGAGCTTTGGGGCGACTGAGATTGAGTTTGGCTCTTCAGAGGACAGAAAGTCACTCCCATCCCCCTACCTGTGCGCAGCTGGCCGGTGGGGGCAGTGATGGGGGAGGAGGGGAGAGGAGGGGGTATCCATGACACCATTCTCCCTTGACTTGACTCTGCTGCACACTGGGCTACCCCTGCTTTTGCCTCAGAGCTCAATTTCCTAGCTGTAGGTAGGACCTTGGACCTGACAGTGGAGCCTTCGAGAATTCTTTGTGGTAGGTTCTTATGGCCTCACTCCACTTGGTGCCATCTTCTTTCCATCTGCTCCAGTCCTAGGACTCCCTACTATGCCCTCTCTGAAATTACCACGGAGAACTATTTGGATAGAGAAGGAAGGAAGGAAGGAAGGAAGGAAGGAAGGGAGGGAGGGAGAGAGGGAGGGAGGGAGGGAGGGCGGGAAGGGAAGGAAGAAAGGAGATGGGGGAAGGAGGAAGGGGAGAAGGAAGGAGACAAGAGAGAAGAGAAGAGGAGAGGAGAGGAGAGGAGAGGAGAAAAGAGAAAAAGAGAATCTAAGCCCAGAATTCCCTCTCTGTCCTGGTGAGGTCTTAGGGATGGAAGGATGTTATTGAAGTGGGCATCTTCTTCCAGGGCCTTGGCTTGTCTTTAAAACAATTTTTTTAAGGCTGAAAGAAAATATATAGGAGAAACCAAAGGTTTTGCCCTGCAGCATACATAACAAAAGGTTTCCAAACGCAAAGAGATGGAAGCAAGATGCAGAAGAAACTCAGTTCAATTGGCTTAGACTGGGCTCGCTCTTTTTTTGTGGGTGGGGGGAGGGTGGTCACAGACAGAAACAGCCACGTGCATCTCTTCTGCTTCAGGAAGGGGGGGGTAGCCCCCTACCAGGCTGGCAGGCGGGCAATTCCGAGGGAAATAGGAGTTTCACTTTCTAAAACGTTTGCACTAAAGGAAAGAGGTAGAGACAGCCCAGAGGATGGGTTCCTTGAGAGCCAAAGCCAGGGGCTGGGCTGAGATGCAGATTTGGCCCAACATCTGCCCACCACCCACTTCCACAGGAAAGCAGGCTGCGCTTTCTTTTTTGCCCAGTTTTCGATTCTGTGTTATTATCATTAGTTATTCATGTGTGCAAATGTGCCATCTTGACACCTCTACTTTTTCCTCTCACCTTTAAGAGAGAGGGCAGAGAGAAAGAGATAGAGAGACAGACACAGAGAGAGAGCGAGAGAGAGAGCGAGAGGAGAGAGAGAGAGAGAGAGAGAGCGCAGAGCGCCCTAGTGCTCGCTCCCGACCCCATGTTCAGCGCGTTCCTTTCTTGGAGCTCATTTTCATGACGTGGAAAACAAGATTCGGGGTTACTGCACATTATAAAGAGAGAGAGAAAAAAATCCCATAGCCAGATAAGTGCAGATTCTGCACAGCCTCTCTTGGCTCTAGGCCTTTCTCTCGGTGCTCAATGATGAGCAGCGGGTACCCCGGAGGTCAGTTACCGCCGTGCCAGCAGAGCTGGGAGACTGCAGCCCTTCACCGCCCTCCTCTTTTGAGGGGGGCAAACAGCTCCCAAAGAAACCCATTGAAGAGCCCTTTTTATTCACAGCACGTCGGCAGCCTGCTTCCCCCCTCCCTGTCAGTCCTTCCCCCTTCCCCCCTCTCTTCTTGTCCCCTCGGCTTCTGCCTCAGCCAGTCAGACGGTGAGAAGGGGAAACAATCCTTAAAGTCAAGATTTATTTGATTGTTTTCTTCTTTCAATGTTCAGTGCAAATTTTAAAAAAAAAATCTGCAAAATAGGTAAGTCAAAGCTATCTAGAGCCTGCCTTTCAGAAACCTCAGGAATGTAAGAAGAAGAAAAAAAGGCGGGCAGATGCATTCAATGAACAGAAAGAATAGTTCAT